TATATATATATATATATATATATATATATATATATATATATAAAGGGCTTGGATTTTTTTGAACCAAATTTTTAGAGTAGGTTTTTCACCTATTTAGAAGATAAAATGTTAAAAAAATATTGCATGGATGCATCATATTTTTATGAAAATTAAAAAACAAATAAGAAAAATTTAAACTATTCAGATGTTGAAAATACCAAAACAAAATATAAAATTTATTTTAAGTTTTTTTTTAAAATTATTATATTTTTATTTTAAAAATATATAAATATTATTATCATATTACTCTTGACTTTATAGTTAGAAAATTTAATTTTAAATTTATTGTTTATATTTTATCAATTTTTATTTTAATATATATTTATTTATTATTTTTAATAATATAAATTGATTATATATATATATATAACAGTAAATTGATCGATATAATTTATTTTGAATCTATCTAAGTTTTCGATTGGTTGAATTGGTACATGATTAATTAAAAAGGTGAGAGAGAAGATACAAGAGTTATTGGATGATTACTTTTACCATTTCAAAAGGATGAAATAGTCTGTAAGAATTTTTGGAAGTTGAAGTGTTCTGTAAAAAAAAAAAATTTAAGACTAATTTTTTTTAAAAAAAATATCAAATTCAAGATTAACGTTCATAAAGATTGAGTCCACTCAAATGTAAGATCAAAGTGTCCATAAAGAAAAGATGTCAGAGCTTAATGGAGATTAAATACTTTCCCAAAGGTAAAATATGTTGTTGTGTTTGATGACCATGCACTCAAAAGAGAAGAAAAGAGGCTCGAAAATAAATATCATGAAAGGGACAGAAACGGAGGGGGAAATGGTCCTTCACCACGCTGATGTAAAAGGATCAAGATCAAATCAACACACAATTAATTGGATCTGTTTTGGAAATGACTTGTGTGCTCAATCACAATCACAATCACAATCACAATCACAATCACAATCAATCAAACATGAAGAGGCAGGTGCCCATCCTACTCTTTTGCATGCAAGTCAATGAGTGGCACAGTAGTAGGTTGTGTAGTTTTCTTTAAATTCCAAAGGGAAATCTATTAAGATTTTATTGTTCTACCAAAAGATTTTATCAAATCATTTTGAAGGATCACAGAAAGTTACTATCTTAGAGAACAATTCCTCTCAAATAATATTACATTATTATTTGATTAACAATATTAATTATAAGATGTTCATCCTCAATCATACTTCATCAGCAAAGTGAATGAAACTCACCGCCCAACCAACCTAAGTTACCGTAAAGAATATAGAAAATAATATTTCATCTATATTAAAAAAATTTTCATTGGGCTAAGCCCACCAAATCACTATTACATAGGTTTTCATATATGATATTATTTTTCACCTCAAGACTAATATCATAGTGATCTCATCGGCTAACTTACCTAATGTCAATCTGTATACATGTTGGCCCATTCGCAGAGACCCGAGCTTCCCTCCTTAGTCATGTTGAGTTTCATTTGTACGTGACTCTAAATTAGTCGGCATGACAATGTAGTCACCTATGGTAAGCTATTATAAATAATCTAAGAAATTATATTCTAGTTATACTATAAAATATCCCACTAGGTCAAGCTTCCTAATTCATTTTTAGAGATGTCGGTCATCGTTGTTCACCCGGGACTTCATTTTCACCTCGGGATTAAATTAAATGTCGAAGAGACCTCGTCGGGCACCTCAAATGACCTCAATTTTTATGTCAATTTTTTTTTTATCGACGGACGTCGAAGCTACCGCACATAGTTTCTTGTGCACATGGCCCTGAATCGAACCGATTGATCCAAATAATCTCGACATTTCCCATATCAAATATGAAATAGTTATAAAAATGAATTGTGATAAGAGTATGTTTAATTGATATCATCATACTATGGGTAGCAGCTTCCCAAGTAGTTTAATCTAGCGTCTCTATCCTGCAAGATGAGGGACAAGATCCATCAATATTAACTTTAAACCAATCAATCTACAGGTGCTCTTTGCCATCTAAGCCGAAGAGCTTTTAGCTTCGTAATGTTTCGATCGGACATGATCGATCTAGCATAATAGCCAGTATGAACAAGTACTCGAGATCAAGTGCATATAATGGAAGATTTTTTTTATTATTGAAGAGGGGAAATCATTATTTATTTTCTAAATGAATGGGGAGTTGATGCAGCCATAGGAGTTTTTTGATCCCGATATTATTACAAGTTTCATTTAGCCAATCAATCTGAAGGTATCATCCTATTCATGTGTAGAGTGCCAAAAGAACATAACGAACGAAAGCCACTTTGCATCGTCCATGGCTCCTTATAATCATAATTTTCCCAAGTTTGGATGTGGAGAAGGCTGATGAGATCATAAATTAATTAGTTTTCAATTTATCACAGTAATTAATAAAAATAAGATTTGCATTCGTTTCTTCTTTGCTACTAAAATTTTGCTTACACTGTCGGTGTTTGGTTTATAATAACATTCAAATCATTCCTATCATCGGTCTTTTCCATCTATGATTCATGAGTCGTTTGTATGTGTCCCGATCTCTTTTACCTTGAACTTTGAGTTATGTTTTTCTTGAAATATATTCTTTCAAGCTGAATTCATAAATGATTTAATGTCTTTAGAGGACAATTATTTGGTATGTTTCTTCATCAAATCACTTTTGGTAAGTTATGAACCAAGAATGCTTCTTCCTTTCCCTTGAATGCATCATATAGTTGTATTTTTTTTATATTTAGGAATAAGTTGATATCAGTTAAGATTTTTTATGATAACAATTAAGATTTTTTCAATTGCATGAGAAAATCTTACTGCTCTGTCAAGAAAAATCCTCCCTCTGTAAATAGGGAGCATCATATTTTTACGAAAAAAAAATATGTTCTTCGTTTCATTCTTTCATGGTACACTCAGCAGAACAGATCGGCTCGCCTAAATGCCCTCCAAAGATCGTGGCCTTTGTGACATCTTCAACAATAGCATAAAAAAAAGGTAAAAGCAAAGCAGTTCATCTGAGAACTCACTGCCATCGCTGTAAGCAAGGCACAACAATGATTGTCATCGAGCACTTTCTGTTAATGAAGCCTTTATGTTCTTCCTCACCGGAGAAAGCACCCACCTGCACTGCCCTCCAGCGGTGTTCTACGCTGCAAAACTCTTCATGTTCTTCGTTGCTCATATCCTCGGTCACAAGTGTTCGTGTAAACAACTTTAAGCCACGGCCTCGGGGCCAACATGGCTGAGTTCGGGTCCGAATGAGCGGAGATCTTCCGAGATTACCCTTGAGAGTGCTGAGGTAGCCGACTGCATTAGTCCAGTCTCGATGGGACAGTCGTTTCCTCCGGGAGGGAACTCCTTGCCTGGGCGCGTGGTGGGAGGCGCTCCGTCTTCATCCCTGCATACAGGTCGGGTCAGGAGAGCTCGACCCGACCCCTTCGACGGTCAAGTCAGTTTATGGTCTTAGGAGGTCCCCCCCCCCCCCTCGTTCTGAACGCGAGGGTTTTTATACAGAAGGTCACCGTTGTTGATGTGCCCGCTCGCAGGGAGCAGGACCGTACTTGGGAAGGCGTCTGACTTCGGTGTTGGGGTTGCGTGGAGGATCGGGCTCTTACAGGATGGCAGCTTGCCTCGGTCGGCGTTCGGGTCTGTCTCGGCCTAGCGCTGTCAGGTCAGACCAAGGCAGATGACCCATGCGTCTCCTCGGTTCGCGTGACCTAGGAGACGTCACCCGGGAGTAGGCGACGTCAATTTACGTCCCATCATTATTATTACCTTCATCATTCTCCCCCCCCCCCCGAAGGAAGCCATGCGTCAGCCGTTGCTAGGGGGTCCGGGGCGTGGCTTCCGCTTTCAGTGGTCGTTCCCGTCGGTTCGCCCTCGGGTCAGTGCCAGGGAAGTTTCCAAACGATCGCAATGGTCAGTTGTTGGCCCGTTCATCCTGTACGACGTGTGACCAAGGGGTATGACCTGAGCAAGGCGGAAGACTCGGACGAGTGGGTGGTGCCGAGGTGTAGGAATCATGTGGTTTGTGGCCGAGATATGCGGCTCGGGCGAGCAGGCCGCGGCCGAGGGACACGGCTCAGGCGGGTAGGCCGCGCAGAGGTGGACTCGAGCAGACTGCGGTCGAGGGACACGGCTAAGGCGGGCGGACCGCGCAGAGGTGGACTCGGGCAGACTGCAGCCGAGGGTCACAACTCAAGCGGGTAGGCCGCGTAGA